CGAACGCATTTATGTGTTCTCGAACTAATCTGTGTATCATTACCTGCTTGTCAAAACGATATTTGGCTCATTATCTGTGTCTGCTGTTACACATTTATGCCTTTAAAGTTTTATATCAATATTACTATACTTCATATTTTAATATTTATCTATACCCTGATATAAGATCGTGCGCATTGAGTGTTTCATATTTTCTTGCTCCTGCTGCCAGGTCATACACCACAGCACGCGTTTATTTCAAGCTAAAATGTCAGTGAGAAATGTTGCGTGTCCAATGCTGTGTTGATTCAGGCTTATTTTAAAGATTTTTATAGTAGCATCGAAGAATAATAAGTCTTTAGTAGCATCAATCGGGATTGCTTTGTTAGTGAGAAATGTTGCGTGTCCAATGCTGTGTTGATTCAGGCTTATTTTAAAGATTTTTATAGTAGCATCGAAGAATAATAAGTCTTTAGTAACTATCCCAGTTTTATATCTGAGCCCATCAAGAGCTCCAAATGACGAAAAAGGTGATTAAAATCAAAGCAATCCCGACGGTACAGAGAAACAACGAAAATCTGACGTTTCCAGATATAAAGGTATTTGGTTTATTATTTTACGGTGTGAATGCAGCTCTATCTTACTATACATACCGTGGTGGAGAGAATGTGTCCTGGGGAGTGCTGGGGGACTTGCCCCCTATCAACCTTCCCCTCAGGCAGTGCCTGAAGGGCATGCCTAGTCACTGCAATTTATATTGAAATATTAAGTTGGCTTATTGGTCAATATGTTTTTTTGGGGGGTTGGAACGTGTAAATTCCCAGAGATTGCCAAAATGTGGCTTGGGTTCCAATAGAGTTTTTGATTTCTGGCGCGTCAGCCTGTAGAATTTCAAAGATGACAGTTACATCTGTAGAGTTTCACTGACTGATTTTAAGAGTTTTTTGTACTAGTTTCACACATTTTTTATCATTATTCTTCTTATTTAAGCCTGATTTACCCCATAATTTCCCTGATACATTTCATGCCCTCCCGTTAACAGGACTATTAAATCAAGATTGTCGAAGGAGAAATGGTACTCAATCTACTAAACGATTCGGTAGAGGTTGAAGACCGCTACGCGTGTAGATAGAGGAAAATGGACACCGCCATCTTATAGAGCGGGAAAAATAGAAGGGGATAGCGTATAGTTTAAGATGCACCGGCCTTATAGTCACCGCTAAATGACGAAAATATAACGCGCGGCCGCCTTTCAAATTCAAAGTCGATGAGCTTGTTTACCTTGCTAGGAAAAACACGACACTGACCCACGAACGCATTTTTGCGTTCACGAACTAGTCCGTGTATCATTATGCGCTTGTCAAAACGATATTTGGCTAATTATCTGTGTCTGCTGGTACGCATTTATACCTTTAAAGTCTTTTAGTAATGTTATTATACTTCAATTGCATATTTTTATATTTATCTATACCCTCATATCGAATCCTGCGCATCGAGTGTTTCACACTTTCTTGCGCCAGCCACAGGTTGACAGCTCACCAAGACACCAACCCGCTCATTTCGAGATTGAAAGCCGGTGAGAAATGTTGCGTTTCCAGTGTTGTGTTGATTCTGGGTTCTTTTTTAAGACCTTTACAGTGGCATCGAAGAATAATTCGACTTCAGTAACCATCCCAGTTTTATATCTGAGCCCATCAAGAGCTCCAAAGGACGAAAAAGGTGATTAAAATCGAAGCAATCCCAACAGTACAAAGAAACGAAAGTTTCACGTTTCCAGATATAAAGGTTATTTATTATTTTACGGTGTGAATGCAGCTCTGTCTTGCCGTACATACCGTGGTGGAGAGAATGTGTCCTGGGGGGGGTGTTGGGGGCTTGCCCCCCATCAACCCTCCCCTCGGGCAGTGCCCGAAGGGCACGCCTAGTCACGGCAATTTATATTGATATATTAGGTTGGTTGGTTTATTGGTCAATACGTTTTTGGGGGTTGGAACATGTGAATTCCCGTAGATTTTTTGCCGAAATGTGGGTTGGGTTCCTGTAGAGTTTTTTATTTATTTCGCGTCAGTCCGTAAACTTTCAAAGATGGTGGTTACATCCGTAGAGTTTCATTGGCCGATTTTAAGCGCTTTTTGTGCTAGTTTTACGCATTTTTGATCGTCATTCTTCTTATTTAAGCTTGTTTTACCCCATAATTTCCCTGATATACTTCATGCCCTCCCCTGCTAACGGGACTATCAAATCAAGATCGTCGATGGAGAAATGGTACTCGATCTCCTGAACGATTCATTCGCAAAAGAAACAACGCCGAAAATCGATGAAATCATAGGATTTCATGCAGAAAAACATCATTTTTTTTTCGACTTAGTCTCTGCGAGGGTGCGTCGCGGTCTTCAACAATTACCAAACGATTCATACACAGAAGAAACAACGCTGAAAATTGATGAAATCATAGGATTTCATGCAGAAAACATAAATTTTCTCGACTTCGTCTCTGGGAGAGTGCGTCACTCTCTGTAAC